AGACAAGTTCAGCACGGAATGGCATCTTTCAGAGAAGTATCAATAGAAAATTACTGACGTTATTATTTTATACTACAAAAAGGAACCATGATCTGAGCTTTTGAAATATGGCAAAACAGACAGTAGTTCTGGAATTGGTCATTAGAGACGGTAAGCTTTTCTGTCTATCAAAAGCTCTTGAAACTGAAAATCTTCAGTGTTTTCAAAAACAGTGGAGTGTTCTGCATAATATAGGGCAAAAGCAGACAGATATGTACAAGCAACTGTTCGGAAAATAGTAATTTTGAACCTATTTGACAGCAAGAGAATCTTAGTTCTACAGATACTTCTACTGTCGTGAGTTGCTGACAGAGCATTATTACCCTGTTTAGCACTCTTTCCTGGTAATGTTGTATATTCTATATATAATTTTCTGAAATTTTCAGAATTTAAAAAAAATCACTAATGAGGTTCATTTCAGGAGTAAATCAAAAGTGGGGGAGAAGTGTTTGCGTGTGAAATATCTATTCCACTTTAGCATTCCTTACTGCTATATTTTACACATCAACCTTCCCAGCCATCGTAATTCTCAATCTTCTTAATTCACTCTTTTCTACCTCCCCTATTCATCACTTGGACTAATCTCTCTGGGGAAACCTGCTTGCTGCTTAACCTTTCACCCCAGTGTTAAACAGCTAATTTCTCTTTTCTAGCTACTGGTCCAAGCAGCAGGTTAAACGTTTTTTGTTTGTTTGTTTTTAAAGGCAAGGTAAGTGTGTGGTAAAAGGAACTACAGTAGGTTTATAACATGTAAAAGGATAATGCTTTTGTCATAAATACCTGAACACCTTTTTCACATATCAGTAATGGAACTGAAGTTACAATTAAACTTCAGTGTAAAACTGCCAGTGCAAGGAAATTAATCTTCCTAAGTCTTGTTAAAGGATATTTTTATATACCCTTTTAATGTCCAAAGCTAGAAGCCAGGCATTTAGTGCTAATATTTGATTTACAGCATGATCTTTTTCAGCTGAGGGGGTACTCACCAGCTTGCCTTTTAGAACAGTTTAAATTAAATACAAATGAATTATACATGTTATGCTATTAATTTTTCTGAAAGACTTCTAAAGGTCACTGAACACAACAGGTTAAGACATTTATTACAGCTGAGTATTTTTAGCTTCATGTGATTCATTTCTTGGGGTTGTTTTTGTGGTTTATTTTTTCCTTTTTTTTTTTTTTTTTGCAGCTTCATAGCAGTGGAGAACACAGAGAAGTATTGTGTTCTCATTTCATCCAAGGCTGTTTATTTCCTCAAGATTGTCAAGGATAGTGACTACACAGACCGTGATGCCATCTTCCTAGAAATCAAGTATGATGATCTCTACCACTGTCTTGTTTCAAAAGATCATGGAAAAGTGTATGTACAGTTGACGAAGAAAGCTGTTAATACAAGTAGTGGTGTAGCAATTCCAGGTCCATCCCAACAAAAACCAATGGTAAGGATTGAGCGCCTACTGTTACATTCATGCAGGGTTTCCTTTCCCCTAAATACTAGTGCCGAAAATGTTTGTAGCCATCAGTGTTTGGTTTCCAGTACTGCTCAACAATGAAAATGTTCTGACAGCAGTGAAGATAGCTGCTGCCAAAAAGTTTTAAGTAATGATAAAACTTGTTGCATAAAGATTCCGAGAAAAGCTGATGGTATAATCAAAAATATTCCTGAACAACGAAATAGGAAATGTTTCTTTACTTGAGAAAAGATTAACTTTACAACACATACATGGAACTTAAATACTGTGCTCTTTGTTTTTACTCTAGTTTTCTCCTCACATATATTGTATTTTTTACTTCTAAATGCCTAGGATTTGAAAGTCATATGTATGTCATACATGTAAAAGATAATCAGAACTCTCACCTCTAAACCCATTAGTTTTTTTGCTTCGTTACAGTAGTTGCTCAGGGTCTGTTTTACAGACAAGGTTACAAGCTCACCCCTGACCCAAGTCAGTTTACATTCCAAACAGACAAGCCAGATGAAAGGTAGGAGAGGAAGCGAAGGAAATAACTTCAAATATTGCAAGATGTTTCTGCTCTCACCCAACAATACCTAAACTTTGGCTACCTGCCTGTCTGTCTCATTTCTTCTGTGCTGCACCTCAGCACTGAGAACAGGTCTCCACTGAAACATTTCTATTCCTTTACAGAGACTTCAAGCATCGGCGACCCAATTTCTTCAGTTAATGAAGTAATAAAAAATACTCTGCTTTAGATAATAGTAGTGCCAAATTAACAATAAACACATTTATTTTTTGCAGGTCACTGTGCAATCTGAAGTTCTTGCAGTAAAACTCTGTCAAGAAATAAACTATGCAAAGAGCCTATATTATGAACAACAGCTTATGTTAAGACTCAGTGAAAATCAAGAACAACTAGAGCTGGACTCTTGAAACATCTTCCTTACCAACAGAGTGAATTGCAAGAATCAGTCTGGAGCTGATGGTATTCTGTAACTAAAGAAAATACTATATGGGAAGGAAATAAATATGATTTTAGTATTTAACTATATGGAATCATTGTGAGTAAGAAAATAAGTGTGGTGGGCTTTGTTTTGTTTTTAAAGCATTAGTTGTATAACTAAGATACAGCTGAAATGCATCTGTTTCTGGGAGAAGCCTGTATTTTGCTAACATGTATATATGTAAAAGTGTTTCTTGTAAATAAGAAGGTACAGACCAGGGTGTTGGTATAAACAGAAGTCTGTTTACTGTGTAAAGAAATTAAAGGATCTATACTGAGTCTTACTGCAGTACCTGAAACCACCTGTTCTCTCTCTCTTTGCTTTTCACAGTTCAGGAATCTAGGTAAGAGTTTAAAAACAAAAATTGAGTTAACTGCAGCTGTTGGAGCACAGAAGTCCTGTAGTTTTAACACTGTAATTAGGTGTATTGATTTTTTTTTTCTTTTTTTATCACTAGTACAGCTAAATGTATGTATACCTAATATTCCACTGAAATGTCATTGTTTTTAACAAAATAATTGTGTTATGTTAAATATTGCAGTGATGACTCACTAGCTCAATTACATTTCCAAAATACTAGAAAAGATAAAGCTGAATCTGTACTGATCCAGAACTCAGACTTAGCAAAGTCTGTACTTGTGAAGGCTTCCAAGTTGTTTTGAAAATAGTTGAAGTGAGCAGCCCTGGAAACCAAAATCTTTAACTTCAGTTTTTCCCTCCACTCTGATTGAGTGTAAATATAGTTAGCTGGTTATTGTAGAATTCTCCTAGCACTGGAAATGCCTGGGATGGGGGGGAGAGACATCACTGCATCATTTGTCTTAATGACAACCTCTTCAAAATTAAACTTTTTGAAATAATAAAAATAATATGTTTTTTCAAGTGTTGTATATCAAATGAGTATTTGTCTCATCAATTTTAACCAAGCTAGAGATTGAGGAATGTAACAGAAGGGATACCCTGCAGGTAGGTGTGTGGATTTGTTTTTGTGGTTTTCTTTTTTTCTTCTTTTTTTTTTTTTTTTGGCTTCCACCCCACTCTAGTTTTCATGTGTGCTCCCTGGAGATAGTTCAGCAACTGTGCTGAATATTTGCATGCAATACGGCACTCTGCTATGCAAGGTTCAAATGTGATTACACGATTTTTGCAAAACTGTTCAGTAACCTTTTGCAAGTTTCAGGAGCCTTATAAGTGTTGATTTTGTAAGCCTTTGACTCAAAAATAAGAAGTCCACTATAACTTTACTTTCATCTTAAATTTACCTTTTTATATCCTTTATGGTAAAGGCATACAGGAATATTTTTATACTGAAGGTTAGAAGTAAAACTGTTTTTAACTCTTGTACTGTGAAAGGCGGAGGACCACTGTGTAAGGACAAAATGTAGTATCAGTGGATGTGTGTATGGTCTGTGACTGGAAATCAAAATCCACAAAGTCCATTATGCAAATGAAACTGATTTAATGCACCACTTTTGTATATTTCTTTGTATAAATTTAAGTAAAGTGTAGAATTCAACAAGTGCATTGGCTCAACAGTGCTTTAACATGTCAGTCCCGTTGGACTCTGCTACTAAGACTTCCTGCTTCTCTCCCCTGTAGAACTCTTTTTTTAATGCAGAAAATGTCTAGTTGCTAAAACTATAAAGTAGGTGGGCAAGGTGAATAAAAGTAGTTCAGAGCTCTGTGGTGATAAGTTACAGGCAAAAGGCTTGCATACTTTGTTTCGCAGCAGGTAAGTATGGAGCTGCTAAGCAAACACCTGAAAAGAAGAATGATAGTATACCCATTGAGCGACCTGAACCCAGAGAGTCACAGGAGGTAATGGATATAGCTAATGTATTTTATTTCTTTTGGAATGTGCATAACCTGTTTTTTGGCTGGTGGTAACGATTAAACAGAACATTACTTAAAACTTCAGTGTACCCACTGCCCTTGATGTATAAGAGTGCCATGGACTGTTAACTGGCTTAGATTATTCTATGTTACAATGCTGTTCCAACATTGTTACTGTGCTCCTTTCAAGTACAGTGACTGAAGTTGCTCATTCCTATACAGATGTGCAGAGTTTTCTCTTACGGGTACACATACAGTGCTGATTACGAGGAGTGATCTACAGCCCTACATGCAAGAAATCCATATCCTCACTGAGCATTCCAGAACAAATTCAATTAGAACTCTGGATTTCTTCTATGATTTTTTTTAAAGCTCAGATATTACTTGTTGCTGTAACCCAACTATTTTTATATTATTTCAGAACTTTTACTGTGGACTTCCTATTGTTATTGGCACTACTAGCATTATTACTAAGTGAATAAATAGAACTTTCAGATTCCAAGAGCCATACTCAAAAATAGTTTTCAGAGGAGGTAGAGAGTAAGTGCAGGTCTCTAGCTTTCACTGAAATTCTTAAATCAAACACAAGCTGTAAGCAGACAAGACAACATAATTCTGTTTACCAAATTATGTAAAGTTTTAAGCTTCATGAAAACAGTATGCTTACCCTTTAGCTTGGTTTCATTTAAGGAGGAGGTATGACTTACAGCAATAAAAGCAGATTGTCTTGATATTTCAGAAGCTGTGGAGAAAAAACAATTACTGATGAGAGACAGAAACCCATCTTTTTCCCCCGGACTCTCTTTAACACACAGCTAATACAATTCAGGAATGAAAATACTTTTTTTTATACTCAGTTGCTCAAGTATCTATAAGAAGCTGTTGATAAAGTCTCCATGCAGCCACCCACCTTCACATGCTGATAAAGGTTAAAAAACCCCATCAACAACGAAGGCAGTATTTATGAAAACAAACAAAAACACATAACCCATGCACTGATAATGCTAAAGTAGAAACACTGCTACTGCCTGTTAGCTGTAATTAATTTTACCCAGATTTTGATGAAAACTGTGCAACCTGTTCTCTGCCTACTCAGCCCAACTTCATTTTCTTACTGTAGCATTTTTTTTTTTAATGTGTGAGCTACTTTATTTAAAGTACAGGCAGTGAAACAGGAAATACAAAATGAGATATGCCTGAAATAAGGTAAACAGCATGCAAGATGTGGATAATACCCTTCCCTTCCTTCTGCTCTTGAATAGATTTTTCTAATAAATCAGCTAGATACTAGCTGAACATCTTAAGCTGTTTATCAAAAAAGTGCAGTGCTTACATTTTTGTGGAGAGAAAGTAAGTGGCTAGAAGTTCCACATCTCAAAATGGAGACTAATCATAATGCATGCTTATGACAAGGAGACTTTGATCTATTTGCTATTCCATTTCCTAGACTACATGATGTTTTATACCATTTATCTATTATCTCATCAGTCCTAGATTTACTTTCTAGGATCATAGGCCAAATACATGTGTACATATACATACACACACATACCAAAAAAAATTATTTTTCCCCCCATAACACAGTTTAGCACTGACCTGTTTCCTACAACCCAAACCACTAGATGATGACTCCTTCATGAATAACCTCACGTACTGTGCTTCTCTTCCTTGAAGAACATTGCTCTATCTGTTAATCACAGTGTTTTCACCTCTGGTACCTTGGTGCAAAAAAGCAGCTTTCTAGGTGTACACACTCCAGGTTACAGGCAACTGTAAAGATTTAAAAGCAGAAAAACAAAAGACACATTTTAATATAACATGCACAAATACCTAACTTGGTTTCTCATAAAGAAACACTGCATATGGTTTGTGTGTATGTATACATAATATATATAAATTTCTTTAATTTTGAAAAGTGATAGCCATACTCCTAATAACCTCTATTCTTAGAAGCATAGTTGCTATAAAGAAGGAACACAGAATTACATGTAGTTCTGAAAAATCAGACTAAGCCTAGAGATTTGCATTCTATTCCAGACTCCTGTAACATTCAAGCTTGATGGTAGACTGTTAATCAGCACACCTGAGGATGCTGTTTTATCACAGGTGGGGCTAGGACCAAAAGAATTCCACCTCCCCCTTTGTAGCATTGGTTCAAATTGATTACAGCCTAGTGGTAGCTGGACTGATAATCTGACAGCCTTAAAAAAGGAATCAGGACAGTTCAAATCTATCTGCCTCACTAACACCATAGTTACCTAGCTAAGAAAATGTTTCATTATCAGAGGTCAGCACAGTTTCTCCAAGGCAGAGCTGTAGTCCTTTCCTAGTTCTCTATCATCAGACTTTCTGGAATGGGAGAACATGAGTAAAAACAGCACCAGATGTGTACACAAGGTTGGGTCCCCACACTGTGACTGGATTTGCACGTGTCTCAGCTATAATACAGTGCAGTGTTAGTCATGAAAGGAGGTCTGCCAAAAAGAGGAAAAAAAAAAAAAAGTTACTCATTAACCACTGACAAACAGTGAAAATTTCTTTCCCTATTTTCCCTCAGTGGAACTACAGCATATTCAAGTATAGAAATAAAAATAATCTTGGAGCTAAATGCAGTTACATAAGAGGTGCATACCTACTGCATTATATCAATTCTATTAGCGGCCTGCTGTACAGTTACATTGTCTCAATGCAATCGGACTCCAGAATCACAAGGGGTTGATTTGGGGGTGGGTGGTTTGGGGTTTTTTTTGGTAACTGACACACTGCTGCCCAAGCAATGTGCCCAGCACATGCAGTTCTCTCAGGGGATAAGAATAACCTTGTACCTCAGGCCTATTCTGGTCTGACTCAAAAGTACTAAAAGGCCATGAGAGAAGTAAACAGCTTTCATGTGCGTTTACATTTTGGATAAATGGATGGGTCACCCAAAGGACAAGGATTGTGTATGGAGGCTACATAATGGTTGTTTCTGTGCACTAAAAATGCCAGCCAAGAAAACAAAACAAAACAAACACACCACTGGATACTCTGGATACTGCAGCTGTAGAGAAATTTTTAACCAATAGAGAAATCTATCAAATCAACCAGCCCTCAGCACTCTAGAAACCGCACCAGTGAACACTTGCATTGACCTTGGTGGATGACTGACCATACCTAATGACTTCGAGGCAAGCACCCCCCAGTCAGCAGTGCAAACAACAAGGTTACAGAAGAATGATGTGGCAAAAATTTGTGCCTGCATATTTAGATGAGGAAAACCACCACCAACAAAAAAAAAACAACACCCTTTTCAGGAGCAGACACCCCCCAACACATACAAGCACAGATCCTTATTTTGATAAGGCCCTGACTGCAACTCAAACACCACCAGTGGTCTCTCCCCCAAAGTGTGCACCACTGAACCTCAGACCTGCTTTGAAAAATGTTACCAAGCAGAGTAAGCACAGCAGAAATTTCAGACATCTCACAGAAGCATCACAGCATTCATGGGGGAAAAAACAAACAAACAAGCAAAAAAAAAACCAGCAGAATTTGACCCAATTTCAGGCAATTAAAGTACAAAAGTTAACAGCAGTTCAGTATCTTAGTCAACCACATTTACATGCAGTGAAGTGCACAGGACCTGCACCAGAACCCGGAACCTTGCTCCCACTTGCTCTTCCTTACCACAAGGCCTGCCTGCAGCTTTGCAGCACCCTAGCTCACAGTTTCTACACCAGCACAGTGGCAGATAAATGAGAACAGCACTAGCACAATCGGGTGGCAGCACTGAATGGCAGGTTGGGGTGTGCTCCTTTCTGGGCTCATGTGTCTCCCTGCAGTCACCTGCAATCTACCAGACAACTGAAGCCTTTTCCTCTATTTTTTCCCCCTCCTCTTTTTAATCATATAATTCTCTCATATGAGGACAATGCTCTTGCAACCAGTAACATTTTAAAGTTAATTCTTAACATTTAAGCAGAGAAATAGAAAAATATATGCAAATTTAACTAATTCAGTAATACCTTTTACAGTATTACCATGCAGTGAGGGGAACAGCCCAGAAATGTAAAGACTACACTTAACACTCCTTTCTGTGACAGAATATGTCTTTATTTGTGGTACAATAGCAGTTGCAGTATGCGTTATCTGAGGGTTAAGCAGAGACAAATATACTTAGCTGTATAGGCACCCAAATTATAGCAAGATCTATTTGCTGTGGGTTCCTGGGGAAGTTTGAAATAACTCACACAAGGCACACAAACACACTTTCTCACCTTGCACACACCAGCAAGACTTCTGGACCCACCGGTTTCCTTCCATTGTTCACCCACGAATGCTGAAATGTGAGCAATCTGCAATTGAAACCATGTCACTAACCAATCAATGAGCCCTGCACGCACAGCCCAGTGCTTATTCCACAGAATAAGCATCTCCATCCTTTCTGGGTTACAGTCAGCAACACTTCTTCCCACTACCTGCACTGTAGTAAGCAACGGGTTTCCACCCTAAGCAAGACACACAGAAGAGTCTCAGCACTTGCTCTCACAGAGACAAGGGGAGAGGAGGTATTTCTGGAAGTCTGGCTCCTATTCAGAAGAGAAATGTTTCCTTTGGCTTGTGAAAGTTGCTCAGACTGAGAGCAGTAAGAGGCTGAAGAAGCCAGCTTTCTATTCCCTGTTCCATTACTCTTTTTGATTGGCACTTTAATGAGGGCGCTAGGGGTCGACCCCCTGCCAGGGGGCTGGTTCATGCCCCGTTTATCTCACAGTCCATGTAAGACTAAAATAACACGCCAGGCTGAGTTTCACTGGCTTGTGATCCAACAGCCCACCATGATGGATTGAGTGACTGCAGCAAGTTGGCAGCTAAAGTGTGTTGTAACAGTATCTTTCTGTCAGCACAACACAATGGATTTGCTGATTCCTGGGTTTTCCCAGTGTTCACCGTCACCATCGGCTCCGAATTTTCTAAAGTTCATTTTCCAGGGGGCTGCAAAGTGATAATAAATAACATACCAAAGGTTATGCCAAGCTTTTCTTCCCCTCAACTGCCCTGCTGCTGACAAAGTAGGGCTGTGGTGCCAGCTTTACTGCAGCTGCAGGAGCAGCCCCGAATTCCTATTACTCACTTCCAGCAAGGGGCAGCTCTATTACTCCTCTCATGTGAGCTCATTCTGCCAGGGATGGCCTGGAGTGCAGGCCGTGTCACCCCGAGCAGCGCAGGGAATGCCATCGGACAGGAGAGGAGGTTGCTAAGTATGTCTCACTGGGAGAGCTGCAGGCTCATTTGGGGGCCAAGTTCACAGAGTGCAGATACAGAGTGCACAAGCCACAGATTTTGTGACCCCCTCACTTACTTTGCACAGCTCAGAACCATGAAAATGACCCATAACTGACCAAGAAAGTCTGGAAACCCCACGTGAGGGACAGATTATGCTTTAGACCCCTTTCTTTAATGTTACAGCATAACCTCATATAGGTTTTATAGTAAAACCCAAGCAAGAGGTTTCTTTCCTTTAAAAAATTAGTTATTAGGGAATGAACTGAATTTTTTTTTAGCCATCTAAAGAAGTGCTGCATGCACTACTGTAAACTAAGGCTTTTGTCTCTATGCCATTTCAATATACTCTGTGTACTTTTTATTCTCCTTGCCACAGCCTGTGAAATGAACAATGCACCTCAAATGCAGGGGAGAACATTCTTATCTTCAGCTGTTGCCACCTTAACCCCTCCCAGACAGAATGAGCAGATGACCTCCACAACCAAACAGGCTTTTCACTTATCTTATAATGATTTTTTCGGCAGCCCAAATTTCAACAAGCTAACTCCCCCACTCCCCCAAGTCAGACAAATACCCCCTCAATCCCCAGGCTAATAAAAATAAGGAGGGTGAATGCCATTTCCTTGCTTAGGGGAGAAAAATTATGTACGTCTGTACAACTGTCTACAGTTCCCCATTTCATTTAGTCCTCGCACGAGGCAGTGCAAACAGCCATAAATACTTTGAAACGCAACCTGAGAACTTCAAGTGCCCCAATATCAGTATGTTCATTGCAAGCAACCAGAGCTGATCTTGCTTCACCCCTTCCCATTTCTAGGGCACTAGATCCAGCTAACTCTGGGCAAACTCAAGTGTGGTCCTGCCAACAAAAGGAGTGACTGATACAGCAAATGAGCAAGGAAGGTAAGAGCAATGAGAAAATGGATGTGTACAGGACTTGAACAGGGAGAAGGCACAGGGATATGAAGAGTGTGATGGGGAAAAGGGGACAGACTGAGGAGCTGCTTGAAGAAAATAATGGCCGCTCTCAACAGCAGCTTTCTACATTGACAATATGAATCACTCCACACCACAGATTTCAACTTGTGGTGCTGGAGAAACAAGCCTCATGAGTTACAGATCTGTGTTTGTGAAAGAGAAGAAACGTTCTTAACTGCAAACTGGCACAGCAGCAGCACACAGGGTCGCTACTGGAGCAAGTCTCTGCTAGCAGAGAGGTAATTAGCCTAATTCTTTGCAGAGCTCCTCTAGAGAATCCAGTTCATAGTTCTGTGCACCCCAACACTGTAGCCTGCAGACACATTACTCATCCAGCTTTGATCTAGCTACCTCAGAGACTGCCAACAATACCGACACAGCAGAGTGAAACAGAAGATGTGCTGTGAAAGCGGTTTGGAGCTGTATTGAGGCCGTCACCAGTCAATCCACCTAGCCAGTTCAATCCCAGCTTGTATCTGCCTACACAAGCTGCTGCAGCCAAGCCCTAAATGCTCCTCAGGGGAGAGCCAGATACACCTTAGCACACTAACACAGAAGAGGGCATATCAAGCATACAGCCAGAAAGCCTGGGAATTATTAGGAAAAATGAGTGGGTGGGGGAGCTCAAGGGACCAGTGGGAGGATGCGGGAAATCAGTAACACTGATTTGAATAACTGGTAACAATTATTAGATCTTTTTTTGGTATGAATCATCTCTCAGAGACTCACCATTTGAATGATGTCACTCAAGGGGCAGTAAAAAAAAAATACAGTAGAAAGAACAAGCCTCCCCTGACACAAGGGTTTCAAGCCATAAGGTGAATGGCCAAACAGGTCTGGGAAACTTCACCAACATGTCTGAAAGGGAGTGAGTTTTATGGTGCACATACACTCTAACTGGCAGATCAGACAGGCAAATTTGTCTTTAGGAAAATCATGGTGTTACTTAGAGCTCTGCTGAATCTCTTCAAACCGATGGAAAAAGAGTGGCCTTGCTCATCTGGTGACCGCTGAACTTGTCCTTACCCCATTGGTGGCACTTGCATTTGAAAAACAACAGTCTGCAAAATTAGTCAGCCAGAGCCATCCCCAGAGGACAAAAACAAATTCAGAACAACAAACCTAAGGCCCACAACAAGCAAACAAAGTGAATTTGAACAGAATCCATTCTGGGATTGGGTTCACCAAACGTACAAAAATGTTCCTGTCATTACAGGGGAAGGGGCAGCAGAGAGCAGTGCTGCCTTACGCTGATTTCAACTATTTTTTATTTTTTAAACAACTGCACAAGGAGAAAAAATGATTGATAAAAAGCTAGTAGCATCAGCAACAGCCTGATGCAACAGGCAAGCTCGGGAAGCCAAGTGCAACCCCACTACCATTCATACTCTCACAGAACCACGTCCCTTTCTGTCAGTAGAAATACTGAGCTTCCACATCCATTCTACGTTTCTTCCTCACCTGCCGGGCAAAATGCTGAAACATTAAGAAAGCAAAATGACATTCTTGTCCTCTGGTACGAGAGGACAGAGTGACCTGGAAATGCTGAAGGTAAGCTCTACAGCAGGCATGGCCATTCCAGCCCCCACTTTGGTGAATCCTTCCCCCCAGTGCAGGAGCCACCACAGCTCCCACTCTGCTGCAATGCTGGGCTGGCCCAAACGCACATCTGGACTACACGGTAACGTCAGTCTGAGCTCCTGTCCTTCCTCAACACCCAGGAATTTGGGATACCAAGGGAGATGCTGTCAGTACTACTTTGCAGCCAATCACCTAATGTAAACCTGGCAGTGGCTGAGGAGCTGTATGTGAACCGAAAAGTGCATGTAGTGCGAGAAAAACTTGACCTCCTTCCCAGATCCAAAATGGGGGAGGGAAACCATCATTCTGCACTGAGCAGAGCAGGAGGCAAAGCTGAAAATACTGCTCCAGGAAGGCTCGCAGCTCCCTGAAGTCAGCGCTTATCTCTAGGTTTATATAATGATCTTTCCATTTCAGACACAGAGCTCCTGGCATTTACCCTCTGAAGCTTCACTACCGGTAAAAGTCTCTTAAAACCTCTGCAAGGACCTCTTTTACGGAATTTGAGCACACACACACAAAAATACAGGACTGGAAATGCTATGCAGCTTCTAAGCAGGCAGCTTCTATTGGTTTCACACCTTCCTTACCTACAAGGAGCGAATAGGAAGACCAGAGAACTCAAAGTTCTAACTTGAAACATTAATTTTAACCTAGAGAACTAGGGTTTAAGTGCTCTACCTGATATTACTTTCCAAAGAACTTGCCACCCTATTAACTTTAATTTGCTTGGAGCTTCGGAGATGGGAAAAGAAGCAGTAGGCATTTTGGAAAAGGTCAACAAACCAAATTCTGCCCTTGGTTCCATATCTCTGGAGCAAAGCCCATGATTTACATAGAGGTCATGTGAGTAAGAGCCAAACTACACCATGTACAGTTAACAATATATATTAGTAACTGAGAACAAAATTAAGCCTAGCGGTTAGCATAATGCTATGTTTTTACAACATCTGTCAGCAATTATTTGTATTTACTTGCACTGCAAATGCAGAAGAAAAGTCAGAGAAATATAAACATCAGAATTCCCTGAATTCCCACCAGTCTTGCATCTTCCCACAAAGAAACTCTAATCATTCCTGTTTAGACGCTATTTGTTCCCTGCCCTCTCCAGCATGGAATTTCTTCCCAATTCTCTATGACCAGAAATTACTGGTCCTGGTTCTACACTGGAACAAACACTAAACCCACTGCAATTAGTGGCATAAACTTCAGTGCTCTTAAGAGAGCAATTAGACCTCTAATACTTTCTGGACTCCAAACAGCTAATCAAACTCCTTTCGGTTCCTTCTCTCCCTTTGGCCATGCCTTGCGCTACAGCAAAAAGAGGAGGCAGGGAAAGCAAGGGTTGTGCTCTACTCAAGTTGTACTCCACCTGTGCAATGCAGGGTGAGGAACAGGTTAGCTGGGTGAAAAGTTCACTGCAAGCTGAGCTGTCTGTTTCTCTTGCTTAATTTATCCGATATTTGGCTAACCTTGCTCTGAACCCAGCCCCCAAGACCCCCTTCCTCTCATCCCTCCCCAGCGGGCTCATGTCAGCCAAAGACACCGCCCCTTATCCCCTTCTCCCTGACCCTGCTGAATGGAGCGGGGGCTGGGACGGAGGGCCAAGCACAAAGCCCTTGCACTGGAGAGATAATAATTATTTATGCTCGAAACTCCAACAGGCCTCGTCCTCAGGAGCAAAACTATCAGTTCCACAGTCAGCAACATTTGCCTGATACCGTGTCCAAGTTTATCAGTTTTCCCAAGGCTGGATGGCACCCAGCCCGCACACCCCCGCTCTGCACCATGATGCTCGTCCAGGGACGTGACGCTGCCTGAGGAGCTGGCAGCCTAAAACGGCCCCGATCCACACTGGCAGACCTTGTA